TGATAGAGTGATGTAAACAGGAAGTAATCATGATGTTTTTCTGAGATAACGGCAGGTGAGTCCGAGTTGGGAGCAATGACCGAACTCACACCTGCTTGAGGTGGAGTTAGCGAATTGTTTTTGTTAGATTGAAGTGCGGTTGTCAATAATAATAATAATAAATGAAATTATAATTTAAGAAAATTTACTTTTCTTAATAAAATCTTATTCAATCTCTAAGAGATACGTACTAGACATGTAATTTAATTATGAACAATGCTTGAATTCTTCTACTTGCAAAACGAACTGATATAAAAATACTAATTAAATACATAGCTAATATAGTATCAAAAATTATGGTCCAAATATTGAACTCACTCTGTTTGAATAAAAAATAAATATTTAAAAAGAGAACTACGTACTTAAGATAACAAAAAGGTATAACACAGTACGAGCAATGAATATATCAAATTCAATTGCCGCACATTATGAAAAAAATTTAAAAAAATCACTTAAGTTTATTAATAATACAAGAAAGTAAAAAGCTTGGATTGTAAAAGAATGAACGCTTTGATTCATCAACTTATATTACAATCTATTTGAAATTTTTTATTTATAAAAAGCTCAAATTATAAACATTAACATATCGTAACCTCTGAGATGCAACATTCTAATATAAGGTGAGATGTAAAAAAGTAAGAACTAATCTTATTTTTTAGTGTTGGAGTTTAAAGTTTTAGACTAATTATTACCAAAATTAGGATTTTTAGGTTTTATATGTTTTTGCAAGCCAATAAATTACAAATAATTTTTGTTTTATAAAAATCGATTCCATTCGAGTACCCACAATTCTGGTTTAGTAACCAAGAATCGAACCGAACCCAGTCGATTTTTGATTCTCAGTTCCAGTTCCTAATTTATTTTTTTGGGAATCAGATCGGAAACTTTGATTCCGATTCGATTTCGGTTCGATAGATTCGGTTTCGGTTAAAATGCTCAGGCCTGCAATTAATTACTTCTACAATTGAGTTTAAGATGAACAAATTTTGATTATAAATTGAGAAGCCAACTTCCTTGCAAATTCTTGGAGATAAATTATTTTCGCAAGAGCTTACCTTAAATGGACAGTTAGTTAAAGGAACAACCTTACGCGTTATTAAAAAAATAAAGATTGAATTTGAATAGAATAAAATCTCTCTGTCTTGTTCCCAACCCCCCAGTCCGATCTATGGCTGGACAAAAATCAATCCAAATCTCTCGAACTGGTCAACCAAACTCAAAACCGATTTGGGTTGGTATTTAAGTTGAATTGGATTGGGTTGGATAGGAAAATCAAATTAGAAATCGGATTGGGTTGGACTAGGTTATGAATTAAAATCTAATTCAACCCAACCCAATTCGACGAATTAAAATATTTAATACATAAAATTGAAAAATCTAAATGGACGTAATAGTAGAGGCAAGAAAAAGATTTAGAATGTACAAACGTTCCTTTTTTTATATATATAAGTTGATTGGTATGAATACTATGTACAAATGCAAAATAATTTGACAATAAACTAAAAATTAACGATATGATAATGAAATGAATAAATCTCAAAAAAAATATTTTAAAAAAAAATGCTCCATAGTTTCTAACTTATTTATAAATTAATTTTTAGAAAGAACTCCTTATATAGATTAAAAATAACGAAGATTTTTAAGTGATTTCAAACTTTTAAAATTGTTTAAATTCAACAAAAAATAATTGGATTCAACATAAATTGGGTCCAAGCCCTACCGACCAACCCAACCTAAACAAACTGAAGTTCGATCGATTTGGGTTGGATTGGGTTTAAACTAATAATTGGATTGGGTTGGATAAAAAACCAACCCACCCTAGCGCACGCCTAGCCCTAGTCCGACCAAAGAAGCTTGTAAGCAAGATTTCCCTCCTCATCATGTCATAGGTGGTCTTAACCTTATCAACGCTATGGATCATAGAACGCGTACTCAATCGGTACCATTTAACCTTCCAAAGTCAAATCATTTAGGAGGTTTTTTTCCTTTGGAATTTCAAGGGTGTTGTATAAATGCTCACATTAGAAGCATGTTTAAATTTCAGCTTTCTCCTTGTGACAGCTATTTTCCGTTTCTTTCGTTTAATTCGGTTAGTAGGCTACCACATTACATAAGATTGAGCTGGCAAACAAAGCAAGTTTCAACAACTAGGAAGTGGAATGGCGAAAGTTTGAATTTGCATTTTAAAAAAATAAAATTGAAATTAATTGAATTTTTTCTATTGGGCATAAGACTTAGTTAGTTTTAATTGTTTTTTTGTTTCAAAAAATTAGCCTTGCAGTTTAGAGAAAATTTAATATTTTTTGTAAGGAAAAGTAATAAAAAGTCCACATCAAATATTATGTACATCTCAAATGTGCAAAAATTTATTTGAAGACAAACAGGGTATGAGCAAGTTCTTGGTTCACATGATTTGCGTCTCAAAGCCCAATGAATTTGGTCAGATAGTGCTTATTGGGAAATAAAGAATCCGTGGGCCGTATAAATGTTGGCCATTGAAATTTTTTGGGCCTAGCCTATCTGGAGATCTAGGTTGGGCCGTGCCATTATGCTTAGCTTTCTCATTTTTATGTTCCTTAAAAATTAACTAAAAACTAAAAACATAATTAAGATGCTGACGAAATTTGAAAATATTCCAAAAACCCATCACCAAAGAACAAATGAACTACTAAAGAATACGCAATCTTAGTAACACTTTATGTTTACATCTTTAATGAATAATTCTTCGATTTTTGCAAGTAACATTACTTGTTAGCGTGTAATCCTTTGTATGGTGATTGAACTATATATATGGGCCTAAATCTGGTGGATTAGCTGTATTGTGTGTGACATTAACTGGTGTGACCATGAGTGGAAAGATCTTCTTAATTTAATGCTAAATCTTAATCGAATTGTCATGCTCCAATTGAGGAATGACCAATGAAAATAGAGTTAATAAATTTAGGATCAAGGGCTTTGATCCTTTGGTTTTGAACATCAAGCTTGAGGACATGCCTCTCTCTTCCTTCTTGCATCACAACAACTATTATGGTTATTGCCTTTTATTGTCTCTTTGATTGGGCTTTGCCAAAGCTTTTGCAAGGACCTTGAATCTATAAATAGAAGGGCTACGGGTTCATCATAGGAACTAAACTCTCAAAGACATCATCTGTAAGTCCATTTGGCAAAATTTATAATTAATATAAATGGTAAAACTTCATTTTCAACTATATATTTCAATGAAACTGCAAATAGTACTCACCAATGAAAAGTGCAAAGATATTCGACTTTTGGTCAACTTAAAACCATGTATTAATATGTATTTTCTTTGTAGAATTTGAACTTATAAATTTTTGTATAGTAAAATCGACCAATCCAATATATTTACTAGTTGTAGTTATCCAAAAAAATTAATTTGAGTATCAATCTTAATGAAAAATTGGCTAAAACGTAATATCCATCCTTGTGTATTTTGAGCAAAATTCATTGATAACATTTTTTATTCAACTGAAAATAGGTGCACGTTTTATAGCATCACATAAGAATAACGACACAATAAAAAGTGTATTTTCATTCTTAATAAATTTAAAATCGACTATCAAAATCTTTCATTGCCATCCAATCGAGTAACACCTAAAAAAAAGGAAGATAAAAAAAAAGTGAAAATCGTAACTTGAGCAACCAATATTCGGAGGGACCAGTAAATATCTTAGTACTGCCACGGGGACATTCAAATCCTATGGTTCTGTTATTACTGTTGGTCCTTATGCTACACACTTGTTTCAGTTCAATAAAAAAAAAAAAAAAAAATATATATATATATATATATTTAAAAAATAATATTAATAAATAAATTCTTATAAACCCCACCATATTCAACACCTTTATACAAGGGTCATTCTTTGTTTCTTTCTTGATTTAAGAGCTCTGGATGTGATTCAGAAACACATACATTATACATACACACTTGTATGTTTATGTATAACGTTTTCATTAAATGTAAAGAATGTCAAATGTTGGTGATGAAAGAAATGTCCTTTATTTCAGTTGTTACAAATAATTAGATTTCATTGTTTATCCAGTTTATGTTAGATGAAAATTCAATTGTTGGTTTTGGTTTTCCGACGGCAGGATGAAAAGGCTCTTTCTTGTGGATTAGCTTAGGTTGAGAGTGGGAGCCCTGGCTATGGAGGGGCTGCCAAAAATTCGAAAAAGATGGAGGCATCAGTAGCTGGACTTCCCCTACAACGCCTCGGAAAAAGATGACTAAACAATTGACAGGGAAACGTGGTGATACCGCATTGTATTACGCAGCTCGATGAGGAAATTCTATAGCGATAAGGGGAATTATTACTGGTTTTCAAGAGGAAGAATTGATGGGGGGACAGCCTTGTTTATAGCTGCTAGATATGTAGTGAGGGAGATGATGGATTTTTATAGTTTAGTAGCTGCTGGAATGAAAGCAAAGAATGGATTTGATGCCCTTCATATGGCTGCCAAACAACGAGAATTGGGTAAAGTTAGATAAAATGTAACTTTTTTGCCAAATGAAAATTAAGTAGTTATTTACTTGTTATGTTGCTGAAGTGGTAAGGCACTTATGGGGGTGCATCCGGAGCTCTCTATGACAGTAGCAATGGCAAACACGACAGCTTTGCATATAGCTGCGACTCAAGGGCACGTCGAAGTTGTCGACTATCTTTTGGAGGCCGAGATCTTTATGTAACTTTTTTGCCAAATGAAAATTAAGTAGTTATTTACTTGTTATGTTGCTGAAGTGGTAAGGCACTTATGGGGGTGCATCCGGAGCTCTCTATGACAGTAGCAATGGCAAACACGACAGCTTTGCATATAGCTGCGACTCAAGGGCACGTCGAAGTTGTCGACTATCTTTTGGAGGCCGAGATCTTTATGTAACTTTTTTGCCAAATGAAAATTAAGTAGTTATTTACTTGTTATGTTGCTGAAGTGGTAAGGCACTTATGGGGGTGCATCCGGAGCTCTCTATGACAGTAGCAATGGCAAACACGACAGCTTTGCATATAGCTGCTACTCAAGGGCACGTAGAAGGTGTCGACTATCTTTTGGAGGTCGAGATCAGCTAACTACTATAGCTAAAGCCTAAAAGTAATGGAAAAACTGCGCTGCCTTCTGCAGCAAGAAAGGGGCATGTAAAAGTTGTGAAGGTAAGAAGCCAGGTTTAACTTCAAGGACTAACAAAAAGGGCAAACTGCCCTTCATATGGCTGTTAAAGGTCAAAATCTCAAGGTGTTCAAGGAACTTATTAAGGCAGATCCTTTGTCGATTAATATGGTGGACACCAAAGGCGATACCGCATTGCATATAGCTACCTGAAAAGGCAGGGGTCAGGTAAATCACTCTTTTCTTTGGTTTGTTTCGAGGATTTGTAATAAATTAGATGATAAACGAGTACATAGGCCATCTTTGTTTGATGCGTGCAGATTGTCAAGATCCTTGTGGCACAAAATGAAACTGATGCAAGGGTCGTCAATAGATCTATTGTAAATGTGGTCAGCATTGCAGAGAAAATGGGCTTTTTTATCTGACAACATTAAGTTTGGCAAAATTTCTCAAAGAATATGTGCCTTCATACCCCGAGCAAGAAAGTGACGTTGAGAAATTGGATGCAGTTGATGCATGGAAGCATTCCGATTTCTTATGCAGAAATTATGCACTCAACGGGCTGGATAACACATTATATAATGTATACTGCAATGCAAAGTCCGCAAAAGAACTGTGAAAATCTTTGGACACAAAGTACAAAATCGAAGATGCCGGCACGAAGAAATTCATTGTCGGTCGTTTTTTGGATTATAAAATTGTTGACAGCAATACTGTCATATTCCAAATTCAAGAACTTCAAATCATACTCAGCGACATCCATGCCTAATGAATGAAACTAAGTGAATCATTTCAAGTCGCTGCACTGATTGAGAAATTACCGCCTTCTTGGAAGGACTTCAAGAATTATCTAAAGTATAAGTGGAAGGAAATGAAACTTGAAGATATCATTGTTCGGTTGAGAATAGAAGAAGACAATCGCAAATCTAAAAGGAGGAGTGGTACATCTCATTCGATGGAATCAAAAGTCAACATTGTAGAAGGAGGTTTAAAGACTAGCAAAAAAAGAAAGCACAATGACGAAGGGCAAACTAGTTCTTCACAACCTGCTAAAAAGTTCAAGGGCAATTGTTACAATTGCGGTAAGGCAGGACACCGAACCAAGGACTTTCGAAAGCCAAAAAATGTTAAGGGAAAACCTCACCAGGCAAATATAACAGAACATGACACCTTTCTGATAAAGTACAAGAAATAAATCTTTCTGCGGTTGTCTCTGAATGCAACTTAGTTGGAAACACTAAGAAATGGTAGGTGGATACTGGAGCTACTCGCCATATATGCTCAAACCGCGAGATGTTCTCTACCTACAAAGCAATGGATCATGATGAACAACTCTACATGGGAAACTCATCATCTTCCAAGATTAAAGGACATGGAAAGATAGTGCTGAAAATGACAAGTGAAAAGGAGCTCACTTTGAATAACGTTCTTCATGTACCCGATATTCAAAAGAATTTAGTATCGGGTTCCCTATTAAGCAAGAACGGGTTTAAGCTAGTATTCGTTTCAGACAAATTTGTACTTACGAAGAATAAATTGTTTGTAGGAAAGGGCTACTTGAATGAGGGGCTCTTTAAGTTGAATGTAATGACTGTTGTACCTCCAATTATGAATAAAAATACTTGTTCTTCATACTTGCTTGAGTCGTTTAATATTTGGCATGAACGATTATGATATACAAATTATAATACTTTGCGTAGACTAATCAAATTGGATTTATTAATAAAGTACGATTTAAATCCTAATCACAAATGCGATATAAGTGTAGAAGCCAAAATGACACGTTTACCCTTTTGTTCTGTTGAAAGAAGTACCGAACCTCTAGATTTAATTCACACTGACATATGTGATCTAAAGTTTGTTCAAATGAGAGGAGGTAATAAGTATTTTATTACTTTTATCGATGATTGCACTCGATATTGCTATGTGTATTTACTCAAAAGCAAAGACAAAACAATTGACGTGTTTAAACATTACAAGTTGGAAATTGAAAATCAACTTAGTAAAAAAATTAAGGCTATAAGAAGTGATAGAGATGGTGAATATGATTCTCCATTTCAACAATTCTGTTTGGAACACGGAATAATTCATCAAACTACCACGCCTTATTTTCCTCAATCCAATGTTATTGCTGAACGCAAGAACCGAACATTAAAAGAGATGATGAATGCTATGTTGATAAGTTCTGGATTACCGCAGAACTTGTGGGGGAAAGCTTTGCTTTCTGCCAATTATCTTCTTAAAAAATTACCACATCGAAAAACGCATAAGATACCTTATGAAGTATGGAAATGTCACAAACCTAATTATAAATACTTAAAGGTATGTGGATGTTTGGTCAAGAGAGTAGTTCCTAAACCTAAAAGGGTAAAGATAGGTCCTAAAACTATTGATTGTATATTCATTGGTTATGCCTACCATAGTAATGCATACAGATTTATGGTACACAAGTCTGAAATACCCGATGTGCATGTTAATACGACTATTGAATTAAGGGATGCTACATTTTTTAAAAATATTTTTCCTTATAACATGCAAAGTGAATCAAATTCACAGAAGAGATCTTGTGAAAATGAGGAGGCTGTAGATCAAGAACCTATAAATGAACAACCTAGATGCAGTAAAAGGGCTATGACGTCAACCTCCTTTGGGCCTGACTTTCTAACATATTTGTTAGAAAATGAACCTCAAAGCTTTAAAGAAGCTATGTCATCAACCGAAACTTCATATTGGAAAGAAGCTGTTAATCGTCAAATTGAATCCATACTACAAAATCATACATGAGAATTAGTAAACCTTCCTCCCGATAATAAGCTATTGGGATGTAAATGAATTTTCAAAAGGAAAATGAAAGCAGATTGATCAATTGATAAATATAAGGCAAGACTTGTTGCTAAAGGTTATAAGCAAAAAGAAGGTCTTGATAATTTCGATACTTATTCTTCTGTGACAAGAATCACTTCCATACGTATGCTTATTGCGATAGCAGTGTTGAAATGTTTGAATATACATCAAATGGATGTTAAAACAACTTTTCTGAATAGAGAGTTAGATGAAGAAATTTATATGGAGCAACTTGAAGGATTTGTTGCCCCGGGACAAGAAAAGAAAGTGTGTCGACTTGTTAAATCACTTTATAGATTAAAGCAAGCTCTTAAAAAATGGCATGAAAAATTTGACACAATTATCATGTCAAATGGTTTCAAAATTAACGAGAGTGACAAATGTGTTTATGTCAAGAGCACTCAAAATGGATATGTCATGGTATATTTATATGTAGATGACATGTTGATTATGGGTAACAATGATACCATAATTCACGCTACTAAAAGGATGCTAACAAACAAATTTGAAATGAAGGATTTAGGTGTGGTCGATGTTATATTAGGAATTAAAATTTCTAGAACATCCAATGGTATCATATTGTCTCAATCACACTACATTGAGAAGATTCTTGATAAATTCAAGAAATATGATATTATTCCTATGAAAATACCTATGGATGCCAGTATGCATCTTGTTTCCAATACTGGTGACTGTAAGTCTCAATTGGAATACTCTCGAATTATTGGTAGTTTAATGTATATCATGAATTGTACTCGACCTAATATTGCTTATTCAATTAGTAGACTAAGTCGATATACAAGCAATCCAAGGGCTGATCACTGGAAGGCAATTATTAGGGTTTTAGGGTACTTAAAACATACCAAAAATTTTAGATTGAACTATTCGAGATATCCAGCAGTACTTGAAGGATACTGTGATGCAAATTGGATATTAAATACTAAAGACTCCAAGTCAACAAGTGGATATGTCTTTACACTTGGAGGTACTGCAGTATGATGAAAATCTTCAAAACAAACATGTATAGCTAGATCAACGATGAAATCTGAATTTATCACGTTAGATAAAGCTGGAGAAGAAGTCGAATGGTTAAGAAACTTCCTAGAAGATATTTCATGTTGGATAAAACTTGTGCCTGCTATATGTATCCATTGCGATAGTCAATCAGCAATTGGTATGGCACAGAATGCTATGTATAACGGCAAATCTCGACATATACGTCGTAGACACAATACCGTTCGACAATTGCTCTCTACTGGCATTATCACTATAAATTATGTGAAATCAAAAGAGAATATTGCGGATCCGCTAACTAAAAGTTCAACAAGTGAGCAAGTTGAAAGTTCATCGAACGGGATGAGATTAAATTCGATAAAATAATCAAAAATTTCCCTGGTGGCAACCCAACCTAGTTGATTGGAGATCTCAAGATCCAGGTTCAATGGGACAACCGAACTATGAAGAACTTAGTAAGCACTGGGGAGATTATCACTCCTACCTATTCCTATGATGAGCCAGTGCCTAATTGCCGCGAAATAGGTTAAGTTATGCTTTTAATGGTTTCTATGTATTGATTCGTTCAAGTGGAGTATAGTAGAATACTCTTTATGAAAATCAACTATGTGGGTGAGAAGAGGCCGCTTCTAAGGGAATCAGATGAAGATGAATTCTCTAAAAAACACTCATGAACTAGGAGGTGTCCAACGCCAAAATGGACACAAACGTGAGAACCAACTGTGTTCAAAGAGAACTGTGTGACTTCTATTGTCTAGGTTTACATTAACAGCTGACTGTTCAAAACAACTTGCTACCGATTGGCTAAGTAAATCCGATAGATTTTATTAGGGAAAGTTCAAAGTCTTTGGCTACTTATCTTGATGCAGTTTTCTTCAATTTTCTTCAGAAAAACATATCAGATGTTATTGTTTGGAAAAGACCGACATATTTCATTCATGTGGGGGATTGTTAGGAAATGGTATGAAATGGGTCAACTTTGGACCCAAATTTCAGTGGGACCCACATCTTAATTAATACGGGACCTAGCATATTCACGTTCTACTCCGCAAGGTGATGAACGTGGTACATTTATTTATTGAAAACCATTTAGAATTGAATAAAGTATTTAATGTCAAAGTAACCTACTTAAAACTATGAATTAGTGAAGAATTTGATTTGTCCAAATACTTATCCCACATAGGAAAGTTATGAAACTTTGATGTGGTTTATATGGTGCAAGTTTGGGAATTGTGTTTGGACCCCAAGGGATACCAATAGTCTTTGGAAGGGGGAGACCTATATCCTATCGGGCTCGATCATAAGCCCACAGCGCGCGCCGCCACCGTCGTCCATCCGACCGACTGGCCGACTTAGCACGGCACGAGCACGTGCCCGTGTCCGAGTCCGAGTTCGGATTGGTGCGGGTGCGTCCTTGCACTATATTAATTTTTTGGACAAAATTTATTTGAATTTTTGGACCAAATTGTATACAACCAAATTCTAGGGTACTTAATAAAATTTATTTTTTCATTAGCTTTTTCCGGGTAATTTTTTTGGATGGTCTATTAAACAGATGACTGTTAACCGACCAAACAGTCGACTGTTAACTGTCGACCATTAACCAACTTAAAAGACACAGTATTGAACTAACGTGTCTGTTGGAGTTTTGGAGGTTGTCTGAACAGTGACGACTGTTCTGGAGGATATTCGAATGGCCACGAACAAATCTATAAATAGCTTGCCCTACTGCCAGAAAAATCAAACAATTTTCATTGCAAATTTTCTCCGCATTCAATCTCATTATCCCTCTAGTTCTGATACTGTTTTCGAAGTAAAAACACTTCGTTGCGTTTGTTGGAATTCCAGTAGATTGTTGTGCTGCTTCCATAGGAGACGAAATTCGTTCTATCCTGGGAAATGATTGCTGGATACCTTAAGTACCGTTGAAGGCAGCAAAATTGTTTTAAGGAAATATTGTGAAATCGGTGGGCTCGAATTTAAATTTTTATAGTATTGTTACGGTAATTCTTTCAGATTGTTTGAAGGGAAAACTTATACTCCAGGACTAACAGTTCCCATATTGCATCCATCCTGCCGGAGCAGGGAGTTTTGAGGGCCAAGGCACTCGAGCCATAGGCAATAAATCCTGCAGGCGAGCTGAAGCAAACAGTGAGCGACATAAAACGCAAAGTTCACTATAAGTTAGAACACACATGGCAAACTAGAAAACGCATGCAAAACGTCGCCAAGCGCATCAACAAAATGCAATCTGAGGGCCTAAACAATGCCATCAATTCCAACAATGAGGTGGCAGTACTCATAGCTACAGTTGCATTTGCAGCTGTTTTCAGCATTCCTGGACATTTCGTTGACGACCCTATAAATATCCCAGACGGATAGCAAATATCACGCCAAAAGCCCCATTTCTTATTTTTATCGTGTTCGACTATTATTGAGCTATTTATCTCTCTGGCTTTCATGGTGGAACAAACCTCAGTGGTCGTGATTGAAAGCAAGGCTAAGAAAGAGATGATGGCGAACATGAGAAGTGGTTAGCTATTGGAGTGACAATTAATCATAGGAACATTATATTGGCAACAAAAATAGGTACATTGTGTAATTGGGTGATATTGCATCTACTCGAGTCTGAAAACAAGAGGACTCTCAAAGGAATTCTCGTGCTAGTAGATCTAAATCCTGGTCAACATCTGTGCTATCTGATTCAGAGGTTTTGGACAATGATTTCTAGAAAATGTATGCAATTTAAAAGTCTCCCAACTACCCTCAAAATATATTTTCTGCTTTGAGTATAGTGAATTTATGGGTCATCTTTCTTGGGGATGTTCTCTTTGCTTTTTCTTCGAATGAAACGATTAAATTTGCTACTATAAGATTTAGAAATCGTTAAAGCTTTCTCGTCCTTGTTCCTCCTTTACCCTAAAATCAAAGTTACGAACTAGGGCAGACGTGCATTGTACAAGTTGAAGTCAGGAACATGAACTTTTTCACCGTATGAGAGTATGGTTGTGTGGGAAGTCACTTCTTTTTTGAAAAAGCATCTAACAGACACAATCTTATTGGAAAAAGGAAACAAATAAGAAAGACATTTGAAAAATAGTTATGTGAGAAAGAAACAGATAAGAATATACATACATTCTTTTCGTCTCTTAAAATTATAGGACAACTTTCTTCTTCCATATTGTAATCTGATAGAAATGTTGGAATAATTAATAATTCCATATGTGGGCTTCACATTTGATTGCAAAATTTTACGAGTTAGATATATGGCTCATAATGATATTTGTGTTAGGGCCAAATTTATTAAGCGATCAATTGAGCCTTTTACACCTTACGTGTTGTAATTAATTTTATGTGGTAGTTTAAAGTATGTGGGCCGAAAATAAACTCTAATTAGAATTCTAGTCGTAATGGGACGACTCAAATTATTTCCTATATATAAAGGCTAGGTCCCCTCTCCTCTCCATAGATGTTTCATTAGCTTGCCCCATTGATAGCTAATGCTTTTGTGAGGAGCAAGGAAAGGAAAATCTTGACTACTATTACAACTATAATTCATATCAACAATGGCTTCCGCAGGTATGAATTCGTTTTATTAATTTATTGTATTGTGATTCTTAATTCTTAGCATGCAATTAAAATTCAACAATTGGTATCAGAGCCTACATGTTAAGATTAGAATCCTTCGTAAAATAACTATATTTTTCAATTCCCACTTTTGAATTATGAAATTATGGATACCAAATTTCCCGTTGTCGGCTTCCCATATATTTCAGTCAACCAAAAAAAAAAAAATTCTGCAAACTTTTCAACATTGTATGCAAAATTGTATGCTAACTTTAAATTAAATTCCAAAGTGATATAATTTACAGTAAGTGCCATGTGAGATTTCCCTTTCCTTCCCTTTTTTTTTTCTCTACTTAATTATTATATATGAAGGATGACGGTAGCCAGATCACTTCAATATTCTCTTTCTCAATTCTCAAAATGAAATCCCCGTAGTGGACTCTTCAGGGAGACGTTTATGGATAAACTCACAATCACAAATTACGTGAATTAACTGCCTTTATTTTTCATCATGTATTTCATCCTCCGGCTGCTGCCTGTTTGGCTATCAGACACCGATAAAGCCGCAGTGGCAGGAGAATTCTTTTTGGGCTTTCTGTACTAAGAGGGTGCTTACATCCAAGTTTTAAAAAGAAAATTATTTTTGGAGAATTCTTTTTGGTAGGTGAATACTTTTTCAAGGTCTCTGTATGTGTATGCATGTCCATATATAATTTCCTTTTCATTGAAATTTTGTTATTTTGAAGAAGCCAAGAATACGGGTTTTGATTTCCCAGTTGGATCTTGATTGC